TCTCTTATGCATCTACTCTAACATATTTTTCTAATCGTAACAATTTTTTTTTAAAAAAAAAATTAATTCACTCTAAAGTGTAAATGTTAATATAAATCTTGACCTACGGTCAGAATTTTTTAAAAAGTTAATTTTCTCCCATCTAAATCCTAATATTTTTTTTAAATATTATTAACATTTATAATATTGGAGATATTTCAAAAATTATATGGACAAACATTAAGGAGCTATATATATATATCCCCCTATATATTAACACAGAATGCGCTGAGCCTACGTGGCTACTTCTGGTGCTTCGGAATTCTATGTGGCAAAATTACATGCTTCGTTATTAGGCTTGGGTAAATTTTAATTTAATTCCAAATAAAAAATAATTAGATTCGGATTACCATAAATATGTTGATTATTTATAGTCATGTTACATGTATTAATTGTATGTTAATATCATTCCTTATTATAACTATTAAATTGTATATATATTTTAAAAGTTAATAACTTTTGTATATTTTATCAGTTTTACATATGTAATATATCAAATTAATCTTCTTTTGATGAGCTTCGATTTAACATCCATATTGTATGTATAAAAAAAATAATTTATATTTATCTTTATAACAATAATAAAATTATTTTTAATATTAATTAGAAAAATAAAATTATTTATCAACTAATATATTTATATTTCAAGTAGTTAGTATAAGTTATAAAAACTAATATAATATAACACATGTAAGTCATAAGTAACACATATCATTCTAAAATATATAATAATATATTTTTTTTTTTGTAAAAAAGTAAACTAAATTTAATATAGTTTTCTCATTAATTTTAAAATTTAAGAATAATTTTTTTAACAAGCACCCGTGTAATACACGGGTGTTGTACTAGTTAGAATAAAAACAAATGGATGAACCAAAACTTTGAGTGGGACATAGAGAAAAATAGGGGCAACCAATAAGCCTTTCCAACAACTATTTACCGAACACTTTTTTTTGGCTGATTAAAAAAATCAAACAACTAAATTGTTAAAAAGAGAGCAAAAAGTGAAATTTTATGAAAAAATGTTCAATTTGAATGAGTCCTAACTCTTGTTTAAAATTTGAATTTATTTCTTCAATATAATCATATGGACATGATTCTATTTGACTATTAGTCACTCACTGTTGATATAATTAATTATTTTTTTGTCTGATAATTTAGTTTCTAATTCTTTGACCTGGATTGATTATATCAACCACAACAAATATTTTACCAACCTTTGTTTCTATTGATCAGACTCTGATATGTAATTTATGGATAATCCACAAGCCAAAGTTTCTACTTTCTAGAGAAAAATGTATATTAATTAATTATATGGGGATTGTACAAATGTACTAGTATTCATCTTGTGCACATGCACAAAAAAAAATAAAAATTTATATATTATATGTATGCATATAATATATAAAATTTTATATTAGATAATGGATGTATTACATTTTAAATTTTGCTATATGCAAATGAGTAATGTAAATAATGATTTAACTTACGTATGAATATTTATATTGATACCATAAATTTTAATGTACAATATAATTTAGTAATCTAGAGGGACCATACATTTAATTAGTTAAAAGATATTGCAACTATTTTTATCATCTGTCTAAATGATTTTAAGGTGTTTATTTATGACACTCATGCCAATTAACGAATATTAGATAAAAATCTCTTAAAAAGACAAAAAATAATTTATTTTAGAAAAAGTATTTTAAAGAAAAAATTGTAATACAATTTTTTATAAGTATGTAACTTCCACATACTATTTAATGTAAAATTATAATCAGTTAATGTTATTAGTAATATTATATAATAAGTTAGTTTAAAATTATTATTACACTTTATTAATATAAAATGTAACGTTTCTACATTAATTGAAAACTTGCGCGGAAAAATTATTAAGGTTTTATTAATGCATCTGCCATCTGCCAGCAATTATATATATAGATTGCTTGTTTGATAACACTTTCTAAATAGATTATTTTGATGCAATTATATATATAGATTGCTTGTTTGATAACACTTTCTAAATAGATTCTTTTTATTTTTTATTTAAGTATGAAAGTATTCATTTCTATAATATATGGTTGATAAAATATTTAAATTGCACCTCTTAAAATAAGTAATCCATGCAAAATCCTATTATAAACTACTCACAAAGTTTGAGGCCTTCTGGAATACCACTTATTAAAATTCAATTTCTTGAATAAAGGCTGAAACTTTATTCAAATGGAGTAAATGTGAAATTAAATAAGGTGCCAAATTTGTTTTATATAAACAAATATAGTTGAAAGACTACCAATATATTGATATGATGAACATCCAAATTAGTAAATCTACTCTAAAAATGATAGAAACTTAAATAGTTATTTTACCAACTAATAATCGAATTAATTGTATTATTAATTTCAACTTATATATAATAAATTTATATTTTTTACCCTTAATTTCCGTGTCAAGAAATTGAAACCAACCATTCAACTTCGTACAGCACCCGTCTTATTCTGAAAATTAAAGTAATAATATAACAAAAACATTTTTTTTTTTCACCAAATCCAAGCTCCTTTTAAAAATAATAATAAAAAAAAAATGATCGACTATGAATGCTATTTTTCTCAACTTTTCTTTTTGTCAACCAATAATTCGTCTTTTTAATTTGTCAAACCAATAAATTTTCTTTTACTATTCATATCACGGTTTTGTTGTGGAGTTATCGGATGGCTCGACTTATTGAGTCATTAATAATTATTCACAAATGATGTATTAACACGTGTCCAATAAATACATATTGAACATGTATCAGTACATAAAATTATGGATAACTCCATAAGTGAACCGTCTGATGACTCCATAAAATTTCTGATTCATATAAAGCAAACTTGTAATTCATACAATAAATTCTCTTTTGTTATATCGCTATAAAAAAAAAATAAAAAAATTGATCTGCTTATAAAACAAACAACATTAGCACACCCAACAAAATTCCATCAAGTACAAGAAAATATAATTGCTTGTAAATAGACAATCCAATATTACTTACCTTTAAATTTTCATATTAATGCAATATTTATTAACAAAATATTAACTTTCTATTTTATTTTTATTATTATTATTGAATTCTCCTTGACATTGGTCTCTTGCTTTTGAGTCTCGAGTCTTTTTGGCTCTCCCATACCCCCACTCCCCACTCACCTCACCTTCTCCATTTTCTTTTCTTTTAGTTTTTATTTTACAGCTCATTAAACAAGTACAAAGGTGCTCAAATGCTCAGCTGTGGAAATTATTTCGAGGGCTCATTTAAAGCTCTTGGATCTTTAATAATTCCCATTCATGGTGTGAATTTTTGACTGAATTATGCCGTTGCAAACGCTGCTGCTGCTTCTCTATGTAGGTGTGTGTCAGTTAGAATTCTCTTTTTCTGCTGCATTCAGTGTGAATTTTGGTGGAAAAAGATCGGATTTTGACTCTGGCCCAGCTCACCATTCTCGATTAAATCTGTAATTCTTGCATTCCTGAGTCGAGAATTTGATCTGGGTTTCTTGAAATGTTTCGAGGTAATTTGTCTGAATGAATTTTTTTCTGCTCTCTGGGTGTGTGTGTTGGGTTTTGTTTTACTTATGTTTTTCCTGCAAATTTGTTTGTTGTTTTGTGTGGAGAGTTTGTTTACTGGCAGATCTGAGTGTGTGAGTTCTTACTTGAGCCTGTGGTGGTAAAATGCAGTGTTGTTGTTCTTGTATGAAAGGTAAAATTGAGATTGAATGTACTTATTTGCTGCATTTGTTGCAATTTGAGGGAGGCTGTAGATTTTCTGTGAGGCTTTTCCATTTTAGTGCCAATTTTATTTTGGTAATGTAAGATAGGAATATTTGTTATTATTTTGAAGAGAAATTAGATTTGGGTTGCTGAAGAACTGTCTAACTGTAAATTTTTACTTGAACAACTATCCAAAGGCACATTTTTTACCTTTCTTATTGAAAAGTTTTCTAGTTTTCTTTCCAATTTTCATGTTTTCTTCTTTTCCTCTCCTTTTTAAAGAAAATGAAGAAGTTTGGGAGGAAAATGGTATGGAGACTGGAGCTTGGCAAGTTATGTTGTTACTGCAAAATTGGGCCTTTTTTCTTGTTCTTCTATTTGCTTTCTCCTTTTCATTCTAATCTTCTTGAATCGAAGAAGTGGAATTACCTCTGTGATAGGTATGAAATAAATTTGTTGCCTGTTTTTGTTTGAGACTGAAATTCATTCTGCATCTGAAATTTTTAGGTTGATCATGAGTTGTGCTCCTTTTACTTTTCTTCTTCTCCTCCTTTTTCTTTTATCCACTTTCTTGCAAATTAAGCATTTTGGATACATCTAGATGAGCTAGAACCTACACCATTATTCAATAAGGTCACATGCCTTTGTCCTTTTTTTCTTTGGACTGCATCTTTTTCTTTAACTGTCTGTATGTGTTTTGTGTGTGTGTCTT